CCTAGGATGATTTTCGCTGCTTTCATCTGCGCCCCCTCGAGTTCTTTCACTACCTCCTTATTTCCTTCCCATGCTTCTCCGGCGTACTCTAGCGGCGGTGTGATTACGCTCTTCAAAACCGTCAATTTGATGCGTGTATCGAGGTGCCGGTTTACGAGTATCGGGTGCAGCTTCCCTGCTCGTGCTTTGCCCTTTTCCGCTACCTTGGACATGTGTTCATTCCACGAGCAGTCTTTTGCGATCTCTACTCCGAGGGATGTGTACTAGTCCACTACTGCAATCTCCTCGATTCCCCACTTTCATCAATGTTCTACTGGTTCCTCCTTGTTTTCGTTGCATACCATGACGGCACTCTTCTTAACGTTGGAAGACAACCTACGTTGGCAGACAACCTCCACTTATCAGTAAACTTCGGGGGGGGGGCGTCTTGAATTGCGACCTAGATTTCGGAGGGGAGAGGGTGGTCTTGCGGCATGGCCGAAGCCAACATACCACGACGGACAACAGATGGATCCGACGTTGGTAACAATATTCCTCCCTGCTTTGCGGTTACTGGCCGACGGAAAGAAACATCACGTTCGAGTCGAAGCTCATCGGCGTCTCGCGAGCGAACATGTGCTGGTTTTCAAACAGATATGTGCTTGTGTCGTGCTAAAACACCGCATCTAGTCAATTTCCTATCAATGGCTTTCCTTGTTCATCACGCTGCGTTCATTTCACCACGATCAGGAACATTTAGAGGGTGTCTCTTACGACGCTACTTGTTGCGTCGCAGGATGATGCCCTCATGGAGGCGGGTAAATAGATGCGGGTAGATGGCGACTTGCTTTTCGATTGAATGTTTCATATATTGCCCGCTGTATTTCTCAACCAAAGATTGCACTGCTGTTCTTGTTGTAGAATTTTCAGGACACTCTCAACCTGTTGCTCTTTGATACAAAATTACCAATCTCTGACCCACTGGAGGGTGTCCCAACATAGCACCTGCTGCGGTAGCACCTATGCATTATATCCAAAGCAGACTGCGCTGATTTCCACCGGTTTCCCTCATTTTGGTAACGATTAAAAGCAAGCGCACGTACTTGGCGAGTCCTCGGATGGGGGCCTCCTGCTCCAGCTTGTTCCGAGCCGTAGCCTCCTCCGCCGCCCGGGCGTCCGCCATCTGGGCACCGTCCGCCCTCGATGCGCCCCTGCGTACGGTTTCGCCGCTCGTCGGTTCAATGCATTCGTTGTCCATGCACTTGTCTTTCAGTATTTTTTTTTAGCTTGGCTCGGGATTGTTTGTGCTTCATGCATTTTTTTGTTATTTCGGAGTCAAGTTTTGGGCAAGACATTGTACAGAGGAGTGTGTAATGAGTATATCGCCTCGGATACGACCAGAAAATCCCCGATTGGAAGTCAATCGTTGGAAGTTGATCATATCCAAGGCAAAATCCGCGCAATTCCGCGGTAGCTCCTCAAGCTTGTCTCCCAGAAGCTCACAATAGTGGACCCGGAAACTTATACCAGGATTCATTGCAACTGGGCGTGTTAGAGGCGAGCACCATGAGGTGACAAACTCCTTGAATCGATTCCCGAAATGACGTCCTTCCACCTTCCAGAGAGTTTTTAAGAAATACACGTGGGCACAACCGCATATGTATGCATACTGCTGTAATGGTATGCCACAACGCCACACGCAACACAACAGCCTGCATAACCGTTCGAGAAAAGGCCACAGCTCAAAACGCAGGCGCAGCGATTTTCAGTCTCAAACGTACAACAGTACTGCAGGTTGTACTAGATATCACACCCCGCGTGGGCCAATTTCAAAGGTTGATCACTGCAGTCGGCAGGAGCAACAGCAATGGCGGTGCCGGAAAATGGCGGCGTTGGGACTGTCTCGCCGAGAGCTTGCTGCGAAAATGCGTCACGTGGTTTCGGCATCCTCTTCGCCGTGGAACAAAAGGGTTCTGAGTCGGCAGGGGGTGTGTTCTTGTGCAACCTACCCGATGCGTACCACACGATTCCCTTGATTTTCGGAATGTTATTTTCCTGAGTACCGTTGCGCTGGGCTGCTGGACGACGAAATCGAACGGTGCACGTGCTACACAGCGAGCAGTTACTCACACGAGGTCAAGGGTCCGGAACAGCAACACACAAACCAGCGATGCACCGGAGCCGCTTCCAGAGACTCCTACAGACAAAAAAGAATGGTTGAAGGTAGTCTACACGTATCTTTCCTTCTGGACTACGGAAAATGCAGAAATTAAACGACCCGATCCCGTCAGCACGAAAATGCCTCTGCAACGGGTTGCTGCTGATGATGTTGCTTTTGCATCTTTAGTGCACGGGCGAAGCCCACTGATCTAAGGTTTGTTCTGGTTCGGACCCTCTCTCACCCCCGGCACACACTCGAACCGGCAACGGCGGAACGGTTAAGTTGACCCTCAACCTGGACCCAGAGACCAACCTGCAGAGGTTCCATCACACCAACTTTGCCTACAAAAACACTAACACAGCAGTATTCCTTCGTACATATCTCATTTGTACAGGTACGTTGCTTCCCTCTCTCTCCGACGGGTTGGTGGGATATCCTCGGCAGGGGAAACCAGAGGGAGGGCTGGGTAGGCGAGCCTCCCTATCCAGTTTGAACTCCAACTTATACCACGGGATGACACACAACCTGCTTCTGCGCCTACTAGTCTACATATTTGGTCGTCTACAGCAGTGGGCCGCGCACCTCAGTGACATCGCGCCGACGGATCGCCGTCGCCCGCACCGCGTCCCACTGCTGGTAGGCGAAGAGGCGCTGGGGCTGAACGTAGACCGGTTCGAAGGCAAGTTTCCCGCGTTATTGCCACCAGCGGGTGACGGGGGCACCTCTAGGCCAGGCAAGCCGGTGGGGGTCGGGCTGCCTAAGCTGCTTCTTCTCCGCCGGGGTGAACCAGTCGTCGTGATCGGTCCGGACGCAGGCTCGTCTTCCGGATCGCTGTCCTCCCGCAGCCGGTCTTCATTCCAGGGGTTCATTGCCCTAGAGGGTCGCAGGTTTCCTCGTCAGCCTCGGTACATCGGTGTGTGCGCATAGGTGTGCGAACAAGTGGGTAGCCGTTCAGGCTACTACAGCAGTAGACATGCGGTTGTGCGAGAGCAGAGAGCAACTTCTCATATTTTTTTGCGGCGGGATTGCGTGTTGCCCGACTGTCGTGTAACCGTCGTGGCTTCTGCGAATCTTTTCGCGTTCAGGACAATACAAGTAGAGACGCGCTCGGGTCTGGTGCTGCTGCCATCCACACCATGTGCATCCCCGGCCCATGAGCTTAGATGTATGTACGTCACACGAAAAACTGGCGATCAGAGATGCAGCGAGCACTTCGGAGGGGGTCAAGCCTGCTGGGGGGTACACAAGAGGTACGTGCGTGTCTGTGGGCCGGGCGTATGCTCAGGTCGTCTTTACTTGCATATGTAGTCATGCACCTGTAATGTTCAAATTCAACTCGCCAAGACGCCTGAGCTCCTGCAACACGGACTCCTTCGCAGCTCCCAGGTGCCTAGGTATCATCGCTCACTTCTCTGACTTCATTTCCACCTTTCCCGCTCTGTAACGCGTAGACTCGGCTACAATCGGCTAGAATAGCCGGAGACCGCTGCCGTGTGGCCAATTCTTACACCGAATCCTGCGTCGACCAGCACTGACACCAACCACTCCATATTCTTCTTCTTGGTTTTTTATATCGCCGTTGCTGTTGTCTTCATATCATCTCCAGTCCATGGAACACATGTAGTCCAGAGAGGGAGAAAACCGAAGAAACCAGTGCAGGCGGCACGCTTTCTCATCTAGAGTAAACCCGGGTTTTAAGAACACCCCCTTCGCTAGTTTACGGGATACCATGTCTACGTCCACCATATTATTCCTAGTAGATATTTTAAACGTACCCGAATCTTCCTTCCATCTACCCTCTCTCTGTATAATTCTGTCCGGTGCGTCTCCTCCTGCTGCCAACGTGGTGGCGGCCCCGATTCTCGACGAATGCAAGCCAACCTGTCTCGGGTCGCCACCTGCCTTCTCCACAATCTGGCGAAAGGGCGCTAAGAGCTTTGGAATATCCCCAAACCTTAATCGTCTTGCTCCTCCTACAGCAAAACGATAACAGAGGGGCGTCCTCAGGTAAAGCGAGATGGCACGCCATCAATTCCACCAACACCGCCACGGCATCGTCACCGGCTCCAATCTGAGAGCTCGCGCCTCGTGCTACATCGTACACCCGTGTAACGCACGCCCCCGTCTCCGACTGATCCCCCTTGTGNTCTTCCTTCCATCTACCCTCTCTCTGTATAATTCTGTCCGGTGCGTCTCCTCCTGCTGCCAACGTGGTGGCGGCCCCGATTCTCGACGAATGCAAGCCAACCTGTCTCGGGTCGCCACCTGCCTTCTCCACAATCTGGCGAAAGGGCGCTAAGAGCTTTGGAATATCCCCAAACCTTAATCGTCTTGCTCCTCCTACAGCAAAACGATAACAGAGGGGCGTCCTCAGGTAAAGCGAGATGGCACGCCATCAATTCCACCAACACCGCCACGGCATCGTCACCGGCTCCAATCTGAGAGCTCGCGCCTCGTGCTACATCGTACACCCGTGTAACGCACGCCCCCGTCTCCGACTGATCCCCCTTGTGACCGCGAAACCGAACCCGAACTCCTGTGGCCTCGTGCCAGTGCAACGGGGCGAGCACGTGCTCCCCATCAAAGAATTCGACGTCGCTACTACGCAAACAATGCACCTGGTGGCATTGTCCCGATAGCGTGGCAAAAACCTCATCCGAACGCGCCACCAGGAAGTACGACAACGCCAAACACAGCCACA